CATGAGAGAGTTAGTGAGAGAGTGTATGTAAAACAAAGAGATGGGCAAAGGAGGGTGGAAGGGAGAGAGAGAAGGGTGAGAGAAATAGAGAGATAAGCGATAAAAGAGAGACATAGACAGAGAGAGAGAGAGAGAGAGAGAGAGAGAGAGAGAGAGAGGGAGAGAGAGAGGGGGGGTGAGAGAGAGGGTAGGAAATGGGAAAGGTGGAGATGAGAGAAAGCTCATAAAATAAAGTTGCCGATAAATGAAAATATGAAAACTCATCGTCAACGCTTTAAATTCTTTATATACTGGTAAAAACAAGTGAAAGAAAAGAGAGAAAAAACATAACAGAAAGGAAAACAGAAAAATTGAAATGAAAATGAAAAGTGAACGACATGAGAAAATGAAATAGAAGGAAAGAGGCATGAAAAGAAAAAATAATGCAAAATGGCATAAATGAAAAAAACATGATAATATGTGGAGAAAAAGAAGAAAAAGACAAAAATTAAGAAAGGAAAATGAACAGTGGAAAAAAGGTAAGAGACAAAAAGGACTTGCAAAAAAGAAAAATCCAAATAATTCAACACAAAAGTATTGTTTAGTAAGCAACAGTACTGACCTTGATACAGGGCCGACAACACCAGATGGTACAGCATGCTAGAAGGGCGAAGTAGATTCCCCAGAAAACGGAGAGAGGAACAGCACAGAGCAGTGTGCTGATACGGTAACACCACAGCTTCGTGTTGGTGAACACCTGTGAAGGAGACATGGGTCGAAAAATAATAATTCTGATATCGATAGATTATGTTACGGCGTTTTCAACTTTACAAGTACATGTATATAGATGTGATAAATAAGTTGGATACCAACATCATAAGTTCATACCAACATTAACATACCAGTGCCAAACATGGTCTCTAAACAAGGCACAAGAAAGAAAAATCAATGCATGCTAAATGAGGAATCTCCGCAAAACCATCAACGTCACAAGAAGAGACCGCATAAGAAACGAAACCATACGTCTACAAACCCGAATACCACCAGTAATAAAATTCATAGAGCGTCAAAGTGTCAAAAGATTTGGACACTGACCAGAAGGCCCAAGAAAAAACGAGCTTATAACACCCGAGAATCCGGCTTTAAATCAAGAGGAAGACAAAGAAAGACCTGGCTGGATGGGGTTAAAAAGTTCCAGGAACAACATAACTATATCTATCCCAGACGCTACACACCTAGCACAGGATCGAAAGCTGCATCTCCCCTCGACATCCTAAGGATACCAGAGGAAGGAAAAAGTAAAGTAATGTAAGTAAATACGTCGAAAAATGGTAAGGTGAACAGACCAGGGTGCTGATACGGTAACACCAAAGCTTCGTGTTTGTAAACAACTGTGAAGCGGGCACGGGTCGATGAATTGTGATATCAGTAGATTATGTTGTAGTGGCGTGTTGGAAAGAGTTGGAATTAAAGATATCAGCACAACCATAAAAATTAGAAATTGGTGATATCTAGGACATGTTCTAAGAATACCGAAGACAAGATTGCCCTGTCAGACATGGTATTGGAAACCAACTGGAAAAAGAAAACGAGGAAAACCAACTGGAAGCTATAGAGGCGCAATACGGGAGGAAGTAATCATCCAGAGCCTGGATTTGCTGAAATTGGAATACGTGACCAGGGACAGACAAGCGTGGCGTTAACTGCTCTCCTCCTTTTGTGCCTGACGGTATAAGGAGAGAGTAAGTAAGTAAGTTTTCGACTTTACAAGCATATGTATAATATAGATGAGATAAATAAGTTGGAAAACGGTAAGATGCAAAGAGCAGGGTGTTGATTTGGTAACACCATCGCTTCGTGTTGGTGAACACCCGTAAAAGGGAGACGTGTCG